TAACTATCCGAAATAAAGCTCATGCCAATGGCCTAAGTGGTCACCTTTAATATTAAAAAAAAAAAAAAAAAAATAATTTCTAATATAAATAATGTTAATAAAATGATTAAATTTAAAAAAATTTTGGAAATATTGCTTTCTTATTAGTAAATTAGATATACAACATGCAACCTCCTTTGGGTTTTGTTGATATACTTCCCAGCCAAGGCTATCAATGAACTGGCTTCTGGCATTTTGAAGATAAGAAATCTGATAATAGATACACTGCCAAGTATAAATATTATCTATTTAAGCTTGATAGTAAACCTAATAAGCTTTATTAGCATGTTACCAAGTGCAATAGCTGGTTAGTTAATGATAAAACTAGCTATCTTAAAGAAGTCAATAAGCAAGCGATTCCCACCCGCAAGAGAGTTAAACATATCCAAGAAGCTACTATAATTGAAGAAAATGAAGACAACCAAAAAAGCTCAATAGTAAAATCTGCAAAGCAAGAAAATATATTGAATTGGTGTGTTAGACCTATGCCCTATACTCAATCTAAAAAACTTCATTTAAAGCTCTTGTACACCATTATCTACAGCAATCTTCCTTTTAACTTTGTTAAAAACCCTTATTTTCAAGACTTTCTCCAAAACTTAGCTCCAAGTTATCAACCATTTTTTGAAAGTATAATACAAGAATGTAACTTAACAAAAACGTTTTTTAATTGTCTCCAAAACAAGCTGTCTGTTATATCAACCTTCACCGATACTACGATTTGCCTGGATGGCTAGACAAATACATCTGGAAACTCTATTTATGAATTTATGATCCTTAAAGAAGTTCAGGAACATATTATTGACATTATCGACTTAACTGCAAATAGACACAGGGCATTATTTATTAAAGATAAAACCAAAGAAACTCTTACCAAAAATGGATTCCAAATGATATCTGCTATCACCTGCGTCACTGATAATCCTCCTGTAATGGTGTTAATAAGAAATCTTTTAAAGGTATAGCAACAATCAAAAAATAAATAAATAAAATAAAATAAAATTAAAATAAAAAAATAAAAACAAAAAATAAAAATAAAAATAAAAAACGAAATTAATTAATAAATAAAAACTAAATAATAAATAAATAAATAATCAATAGAATAATAAAAAATAAAAAGAACTAGTCGAGTTTTTTTTTTCACTTATGTACAAAAACTTTTCCAGTAATGATAAATAGATAAGCGTGCAGAAATTAGCAATTTTGGACAATATGCATAGTTAATAAAATATAATAATTTTAAAATTAAAAGGATATAGATAGTTCTAACTTAAAATTGGATGTTTTTTTTCTTCTTTTTTTTTGCTTCACTTTTCTATTTTAGTTTTGCATTATTATATGTTTTATTATTATTATTATTGTAAAAAAAATTTAAGTAATTTAAAA